TCAAAAGTTTATAATGCTGGATGTAAAGGAGAAAATTTTGGGGGAAAAAAAAGGTAATCAGGATTTGGGGGTAGAACAAGAGAGAAATATTGACTTTTCGAGGTGCCTATGTGGCTCAGTCAATTATTGACTATTGGTTTTGACTCAGATCTTGATCTACAGTTCATGAGTTCAAGACCTGCACTGGGCTCTCTGCTGACAGTGCAGAGCCTGCTTGGGATTCTCTCTCTCTCTCCCCCCTGCTCTTTCTCAAAAAAAACTTAAAAAAAATTTTTTAAAAGAAATACTGACTTTTGGGGGGTGAATTTTGTATCGTTTTAAAATTACATTCAAATCTCATTGTTAATTAAAACAAGTGTTTATTCAGTACCTGTTATGTGCTTGTAATTGATTTGGGTTGTAATGACTAAAATTGGAAAATTTTTCTTTCTCAGAGGTTCAAAAACAAGTGAGCCATGTAGTGTGACCAATGACTTTGGTAAACAGGATGCTAAAAGCATAAAGGAATAACAGAACCATTTAGACTCCTACAAGTGACCAGACTTTGGGGGGTACAAATCTACTATAGGATCAGGAACTTAACTCAAGTGCATATATTGGATGGCAATGTTAAATTATGAAATGTAATTCATGATTTAATATTTTCATTATCAGAGACTCTATATTAGGTGGTGTCCAGGGTCAGAATAAAAACATAACCAGCAATGGAAAGCCAATGTATTTTTGCTTCTGTGCTAGCAGCTTCCCAGTGGGATCCTATGAGCAATAGTGTTAAAAGAGAATTGGTTGCTTTAAGTGATGATCAAAATGTTCTCCTCTAACTAGCAGGGACATGGAGATGAAGAGATAAGGAAAAGTTTCATGTGATGGCTACACTGCAGATTACAAGTTGAGAAGATGAAGGTGGAAGAATAAGTACAAAATAATGGTATTAAAGTTAACACACAGTCTTATTGTCTAGAATGAGGAGAGGAAGCTTGTATCAAGAAAGTTTAAGATACAAAGGATTTCTGTGCAGATGGAGTACATAAATGGAACTCTACCTTTCAGGGTTCAGAGATTTTGAAATATAACAGATTTACTTAAGTTTAATGGATGATAAGGCTGTAAGAGACATCATCTCTCACGTGTATCTTGAATATGGAATTAGATGAGCCACTCACTGCCTAATCCAATAATGGAAATGTTAGTAGGCATATTACTAGCAAAAAAAAAAAAAAAAAAAAAAAAAATCCCATAGTAGTAAGCACGCAGGCTGGTAGGCCTTATTTTTTTTTAAATATTTTATTTATTTCTAGGAGAGAGAGAGAGACAGCGCGAGCAGGGGAGGGTCAGAGAGAGAGGGAGTAACAGACTGAAACAGGCTCCAGGCTCTGAGCTGGCAGTCAGCACAGAGCCTGACGCGGGGCTCGAACCCACGAACCGCGAGATCATGCCCTAAGTGAAAGTCGGACGCTTAACCGACTAAGCCACCCAGGCGCCCCTGGTAGGCCTTATTTTAAACATAAGGCTGGGAATCTATACAACTCTGTGTACTTATAAGTGAAAACGACTTTTGAACTAGCACTCAGAGAACCAGGTCTTAACAGAAATTGACTTCTAGTGATCTATGAGACATGCTATAAGAACTAGAAAGAAATAGAATATCCTCATAGATAACTGGTATGACTTAAAGAACATCTAGTCCAACTGACATTTTCAGCTTGGCTTTCTACTGCTGCATGGTTGAGGCTGAAATGCCTTTTTTGTTGTTCAGAGACCTTAGGGGTAACACTATACCAATATCCCTCATCTATAATCCTAACTATAGTCCTCAAATTTATTGAAACCTTATTCCTAGTCTTTCCTCTTTGTCATGATTCCTTGCAACTTTAGTTAACATATGCAATTCTTTTATGAAATACTTAAGTCCATAAAAATATAGATGTTTCTCAGGAAAGGCATAAACCCAGTTAATAATCATCCTTTCTAAATCTCTGTATTGTTTATTTTATTTAATCCTTTAAGGATTAGGATGGATAGTCATTAAGTTTGGATCCATTCCAACTTATTTGAATGGAAATAAAAATGTATTCTTATACATTAATAAATTTGCATAAAACCTCAATATATTGTGCTAATCATCATATATGAAAAATTTCAAATACACAAAATATTGGGGCACCTGTGTGCCTCAGTTGGTTAAGCATCCGACTTTGGCTCAGGTCATGATCTCGTGGTTTGTGAGTTCGAGCCCTGTACTGGGCTCAGGATCCTGTTTCAGATTCTGTACCTCCCTCTCTCTCTGCCCCTCTCCTGCTCACCCTCTGTCGCTCTCTCTCTCTCTCAATAATAAACATTTATAAAATTAAATATACAAAGTATCAAAATGAATAAAATTGTATTAATAACATAAAAGTCTCAGGACCTTGGCTTTGTGGTTCCTGGACTTTTAGATTTCTTAAAAAAAAAAAAAAAAAAAAAAAAAAAAAAAAAGTGGGGACCAATATAGGGCTGCCAATTTTTTATTTTGCCAATTAATGATATTTAAAGCAACAAATACTACCATCAACATTTCATAAAAGGATACTTCAATACCACAAAAGTTGAATAACCTTATAATAAAAATTAAATTCAAACTGATAACCTATCAGCCTTTTTCTTTTTTCTTTGTGGAGACGAAAATTTAGGCTTGGCTTAGAATTTGCAAACAAACTGCCTAAAATGTCATTTTGTCCAACCATTTTAGAGGCTGAGAGGTGAGTGGCTTTGCCTAAAATCAGTTTGTGAAGAACAGCTTCTGACAACTAGAAGATAAGAAACTCTCACAGATATACAAGCATTAAATATGTTTCTAATTAGGAACCAATATCAGTATTTACCTTAAAAACAAACCAACCCAAATGCTTCATAACTAATGAAAAATCAAATAAATCCACATACTTTGTAGTACAAAGTCTTGGTATACACAACGTACCAGTTATAATTTGTGAAGGAAAACCCCAAATCACGTTATCATAATTATATAACCTATGTCATAAATGATAATAATCTTATCTGTGAGCTTTTAATTCTCCAAAGTATTCATTCTCAATTACACGGTTTATGGAAAATGCTTAATGTCTGCACAACCAGATGAGTGCACTTTCAGTCACTGCAAAACAAATTTCTTTGTAACATTAGAAACTCTCAACCTAGCAAAAAATTTTATTTTGGAAATCACTGGAAAATTAATGTATAGAGACAAAAGGATGGTGGTGGTGTAGAGGAGCTCCATTTGCCTGATTTCTCAAATGAGAAAAGCAATAAGAAGCTTCAGGGTGCTTAAATAAGAACAGTATTTGCACACAACGACTTTTGTATAAAAACATCACATTAATTTAACCACACCCACTTTAAGTCACATTAATTTCTAAAGGGATTCTAGTTCAAAAGCATGTAACAAAATTTTAACATGACCCTGGGAATACATTTATCTACTATTCTGGATAATCAAAATGCTACAGTAGATATGTATTTCAATTAGGCGATCACTTCTCAATCACCATAAACATACACATAGACCTATCCCTTTGAAAAATTTAGTTTTGAGAATTGGCCCTAATTTCTTCCCCTCTCCCACTAGCTATAAATGTGCATGACTGATAATGTAATTTCAAATTCAAAATTAAGAAAACCGTTTAGTCTGTTAAAAGGATGTCCCTATATCAGAAGCTGGGAGTTCATGGACTTATTTTTTAAATAATTAACATTTAAAAGCATGACAATTCTGGGGTGCCTGGGTGGCTCAGTTGGTTAAGCTCTGACTCTTGATTTTGGCTCAGGTCATGATCTAATGGTTTATGGATTTGAGCCCCTTGTCGGACTCTGTGGTAACAGTGGGGAGCCTGCTTGGGATTCTTTCTCTCTGTAGCTCTCTTGCTCTTACTTTTGAGTGAAAGCATAAGCAGGTGAGGGAAAGAGAAAGGGAGACACAGAATTCAAAGCAGGCTCCAGGCTCTGAGCTGTCAGTGCAGAGCCCAACAAAAGCATGGTGCTTTTTTACAGACCCAGTGGTACTTACTTAAAACAAGAGGAAGAGGCATGGAAAGAAATTCACCTAAAGGAACTGATGGGTAGGATCAGGGTTTGTAGTATTTCAGATTTTGTATTGAAGATGTACCTTAAAGACCTGTCCAAATAAGTCATTTAGGCTGCTTATAAGCAGTATACACCATTCTGGTATAAACTAATGTACTGTAATACACAAAACTGTATATTAAAAAAATCAGTGATCATACATAATATAGGAATGCTGATACTAGGTTTGTTGATTCCTGTGACTTCCAAGGTAATTCTGATTTTATCAAGTAGAAATTTGTTATCTACTACTACTGAGAATTCAAGTATAGTGAAAGAAATGATGGGAGTATTTTCCCTACCTTTGTCAATTTCAAACAGTATGCCTGTATTATGTATATATATCTTGTCCTAATTTTTCCTTCGAACTCACAAAACCCAAAGAATTAACATCTCTTTAAAATTACACATATTAACTACTACTGTCTTGATATTTTTATTGCTCGTAATATTTTGTTTTCACATTTTTTTGAATGAATGAAATGGTCTGAGTCTTCAAAGAATATTATATAAACAAAATTTTGTCTTCAAATTTTTTTGCTTTTGAAAATCATACAACTTAAGAGAATGTAATAATTTTTCTTCCCTAAATAGTTTCTTTACTAGAGTTAACCACATGCCTGATTATCAAGAGTAGGAAATAAATCTTCTTGTGTCTTTGATCTAGCTTTGTGACTACTATTTCTGTCCTGGATGTATGGCTTTGTGTTCAAGAGACTTGACATCATGTGTTCCAAGTTCTTCAATGTCCCTGCTTCAAGTGCTTGCCACTTTTGGGCTAGAATTCTGGAGCATTACATTTTAAGACTTTCTTCACAACTACATTAAGACTATTACCACTTTGATCTAAATTTCCACTATTGGCTCCTTTAATGGGTCAATTAAATATCCATGAAAATGAGTAAAGAAGTTACTGTGCCCTTTTATTTTAGACCTGGCCCACTTATAATTAAGCAGAATAACATTCAAAGTTCATTTTGTTTAAAAACCATGAAAACATAAAGCTCTTCATTACCTGTTTGTCAAGAAGAGAATCAAGGTCATAACAGGTTTTGCCTATATTAAGAGATTAATATAGCTTAATCACACCCAATTTACTTTCTAGGTTAACTAAGTAATATTAAAAGGTGACAATTTTTCTTTGAAAGTATAATCTACATATACATGATTTTGAGAATAATTTAATGTGTTAACTTCAAAATTCAACTATATTCTCATATAATTATTTTAAATGTAAAGAAACGGATCCTTACAAGACCAAAATAACCCACAGGCCATAAGGTTGGTTTTAACTTTTTCCTTTTTTTGTTTAAACAAATGTGCACCACGATGGTTCAACAGGTAAGGCAAATGCCGTGAATATGAAAGCTGCAGTTTGCATCATACCACATCTAGAACCCAGGGCAAGTGAATTAGACAGAAGTGGTAGTCATTCTAGTTAAACAATCAGGTAACATCATGACTAGTTGGTTTGCAGCAGCAAACTGTTAATTTAAGTTTCCTTTTTCTTAATGATCAGAGGTCCCACGTTGTCTCCAGTCTCTTCATTGTGTTTTGTGTGAGATCCATCACAGAGTGGGAACTAGGAAAGAGAGAATGTCAATGTCTAATTGCAACATCAGTTTTAATTTGGCAGAGTAGAGGTGAGGCTTAAGTCACATATTTAACATGGTAACTCCTAATAAAAAGATTTTCCTAAACCACCTTATCTAGCTGTTCCTATAAAGAGAATATGTAAAGTATATATAACCAGTAGAAGCAAAAAATCAACTTTGGATAATATATATTAATTGCATTTCCATTTGTGATATTTGTGGATGCTGAATCTTTTTCATTTTTATAAGCGGGTTACAGTTACATTTCCCTTCCAGTGGACTATGTCCATTTCCTATTTATTTGTAAGAGCCTAAGTTCATTTGTTTAAAATCAATTTGTGTATTTATTATCCCTTTGTTTATCATCTTTGTAGCAATTTTTCTCAACCCTTATTCTTTGCTTAGTTTTTCATATTAATTTCTTTACTTTCATACACATATGCCAGTATTTCCCTTTTTAACATACTTTGTGGAGACATCTTTCTCTTAGAAATGTGGTATTTTCATTACTTTCCATGATTTCACATTTAGATATAACTGATATTTTGGGGTCCAGTGGGAGAAAAAGTGAGAGAAATACATTTTTAACAGTGCTTCTCAGATATGCTTCAAAGAAGATAAGTCCTGAAAGATGTTCTGATTTGGTTTCAGTGCTTTAAAAACATATCAGGTAATTCTCCTGATTTGTAGCATACATTATTATTTAAAAGAAATCCTATTTAAAAATACTATTTTAACTCAAAATTTCCCAGGCTGACTGAACCATGGACACTTTAAACTTTGATACCCATTATCCTAATGCTCTATAGAGCACACTTTACAAAATGCTATTCTAAGATCCTGTTGCTTCAATATTATTAGAGGCTGTACATTTATTGTTATACCTTTATTCACATCTTGGCAAAATAAGTCCTACCCATAAATGTCTATTTATAGGCTCTACATTGCCTATACTGCTGAGATAAAAACTGTTTAAAAAATATGTTTCCATATTTGGTATGTCTATGTTTCCTTCACATTATTCTTGTTAGACCTTTCCTATTTAGTCTCTATCTAACTTTATTAAATGTTCCCTATTTATTCTTCCAGACAAACTTGAGGATTTGGTTTTTCTTTGCCAAATACAATTTAATTTCTCTCGTAATTTTCATCTTCCAACTCATGTATACTCTGATAACATTATTTCTGCCTTATATGTTTTATAAAAGTCATCATAATTGGTGTATTTTCATACCTAAACTACTTATGCTTTTTTTTGCAAGTACTATATATCCTTCCTACTGTTAAATGACAAAAATAAGAATTTAACAATATTTTAGGTGTCTCCTCAGGCTTTTACACTTAGGAGATCCAATTACCAGTGAATTATTTTGTTTCTTTCTATATTTATACCTTTTATTTTCATTTCACATTAAACTAGCATCTTTGTTTTATTCTTGATTTCTTAAATGTACCTACACTCTAGAATCTGTAGTTTCACTATTCAGTAGAGTGAAGAGGCCTATTTAGAAAGTAAGTAATAGGAATCTTAGCTTTGCATTGAAGAGGCCTATTTAGAAAGTAATAGGAGTCTTAGCTTTAAGACTAAAATTGCCTCAGTGCACCTGGGTGGCTCAGTTGGTTAAGCCTCTGACTTGGGCTCAGGTCATGATCTCACAGTCCATGAGTTTGAACCCTGCGTTTGGCTCTGTGCTGACAGTTCAGAGACTGAAGCCTGCTTCAGATTCTGTGTCTCCCTCTCCCTCTCTCTAGGCCCCTACCCCGCTCACTCTCTGTCTCGGTCTCTCTCTCAAAAATAAACAAACATTAAAAAAATACGAAGACTGCCTCATTACTCACAGTGAAGGGAGTATAATTTTAGAAATCTGAAATCAGACAGTGAAGGTATATAATCTTGAACTCTGACATTAGAAGTGTCTAAGAATAAAATAATATTTGATTGATGCTAAGGAAATTCCATTTTAATTTTACTATTTATATATAATTTCAAGAGGCAGTAAATTAGTTAAAAATTACAGAAAACTCAAGGTATCAGCATACCTAATATTTCTGAGTAAAAATCCTTTTTTTAAAAATATAGTTTATTGTCAAGTTGGTTTCTGAGTAAAAATTCTATCTTTGGGGTAGATGGCAACATCAATGTAACATATATAAAGCTTTCATTCTTTCTTTTCTTAGGTCAATAAGATATGGTACACAGTATATTTGTGTTAAAAACAAGTCCTTACAGCAAAAACATCAACTTAAGCTTTCAGTTTTTTCTTGGTATGTATGAGGAAAGAGGCCTTAACAATTCATAAAAAATCAAACTGAAATGTACCTCACAGGAAAGAATAGCATTTCAAAGTGACATATGTTTAATAAACACAGATGAATTTACAGTGAGAATACAAGTTTACATTGTAAAAGACACCATTTTTATATATAGCACACACAAAACATGTTATTGTACAGTTTTACATATGTTATAAAATGTATTCCTGAATAATGAAGTACTTATCAATTAAAAAGCCTCAAAGAACTTAACCGAAATAGAATGTTTATTCTTTTTAAATCTCTTCTTAAATCTTAAATACTTTCTAGAAAAATAACTTATTTTAAAAAATTATTTTCCTCTATATACAGAATCAAGAACAGGAGAGAGGGTGCCTGGCTGGCTCAATTGCTGGAGCCTGTGGCTCTGGATAATGGGGCTGTGAGCTGAAGCCCCATGTTTGGCATTGAGCTTAAGAGGAAAAAAAAAAAGCAGTGTAGGACACTGTTAGCCCCCATGCCTAGATGCCAGAAGAACAGGAGAGAAATCTATAGAAGAAAATATAATGAAAGAAAGCCATATCTAAAATGAGAAAATGCTTTCTATATAATAATCTAGTTCTGCCTAAAAACTAAAATATGCCTGTTTCCTATTTTAAAAGAAAAAAATAAGTATTTCTTTAAAAAGCAGCGAATAGTAGATCCTATGTGTTTAATAAGCTTTTCTGCTTTTATAATATATAAAGTTTTTTATGATTTAAAAATATAAACTAAGCATTAAAAATCATTTTGTTCACAAGACACAGATATCCTTTAACAGTACTTTATCACTTAATCCCAGGAATTATTGACTTAAATCAGAAGCCTCTTTCAAATTTCATGTGATTCTATTTATTTAGAGCTCTCATTTTAAGTTAATGAAAAAGCAAAACTTTTTTTTCAACCAAGGACCAAAATGAGTTACCTCAAGATTGGATTCGCAATTTCTTAAGAATACAGTCTATATTAATGGAATACACTTATTGAAATTAATTCATCATTTGCAATATATCAATATATAAAAGTAAGACCTAAAGAATCAAATAATTGATGGAAAAAAGTTTAGCTCATAAGTGATTATAATATCGAAGATGCCAGTGTTTGTTATTTAACAAATTCTGGAGAAAAGTTTGTAAGTTAAATTGGCTGAATTTCCTCTATGTCCAGAAAATATCCCATTATGTTCATTAACCCAATTAGAAAACTACAAATTCCAAATTATTTTTAAAATTAGGTAAGAGACAGCTTAGAAAAGGGCCTAGAATAAATGATTAGGATAAATAAAACTAGAGATTCTTGCTTTCCACTTGGAAAGCTAGCAACATCACCAGTCTTCATAAAATATACATGATTTGTTGCTTTTTAATCTCCCCAATCTCAAATTATGATGTTTCTGTTTTTTTTGGTATTTCAAGAAAAATTAATAAATAAATGCTTCCCCTTATCTCTTTTATTTGTAACAATTAAAAAAATTATCTTCCTTCTCCAAACTTTGTATTTTTAATAAGTTTGGATTCTTCTATTTCCCTAAGAGGTTGCCTGGCACTATACTGATTCACTATCATAAACTGCTCTCAGAAATAGTATTACTTTGGTTGAGAAAGAAAATAAAAGCAGTAAAATCTGAAACTACCTGAGAGAATATGACATATTATTCCATTTTTAGGTACTTACTTTAGTAAAATATTAAGACAGTAAACTTAACAGTAAAATGTGTTAAGAGAAATTAAGATTTTACAAGACTGTCCTTATATGAATTGGACGAGCTATGTAACCAACACTCAGAATTTTGTTTCTATGAAGGAACGGGCTCAGTGCACCCACCTCTAAACCATTAATAGGATGGACTTTCTATAAAACACACACCTTAAAACAAAAATAAGCCCACCACTAACAAAAAACCCAATTCAAATTATGAGGTTGTAAATGAAACAAAATGACTCTATATAGTATGTCCACTTGCATTTCAATTTCAATTGAGCTTCTGACAATTAACTGGCATGCATTTCCTCCTTTTTTTCATTTCTTAGTGGCATCCTTCTAGTCCTTGTTCACTCTCTCCTGCCTCCTGGATGGCCAAAATACAACTGGGAGTGGGAGTGAGGTGGGAATTAGCAAGACTATGTTGCATACTCATCCCTCTGACATCAAAGTTTTCTCATTTCCTTATTTCGAAAATAAGGCTCTCCCTTCCTGAGTTTCAACTCTGTGCTCTTACTCTCATTTCCTTCCACCTTCTTTCAAGATGGCACTGTTCAAATAATATCTCCCTGCAGTCACTTTAATCCTTTCTACTCTATTGGCTCCTTTCTTTCTCCAGTCACATATGGATAGCCTTTTGGTGAAACACTATGAAGAGGCCAGTTTCTCAAAGAGCAGAGGGCATTTTAATCCTAGGGGGAAGAGAGGACTAATGAGGAATATTTAAAAATGTAATTCCTGCATACTGCTAAGAGATCTGATTCATTATTCTGATTTACTGGAAAAACTACTAAAAATGTTAGACCCACACAATGGGTTATCAGCGATTATACCTTAAGAATGAATTAGAATTGAATTAAAGATTCTATCATATGTAACTTTTCTTGAGATAGGTAAGAAGGAGTTTTCATTTTGTTATATTATAAACACAACTGGTTTGTAGGAGGAATGGATTACTGAAAATGATATCATCACAGCCATCTAATCAAAGGCATTAATTACAAGTCTTTTGTGCACTGACATGTAAATGTGTGAGTTGGCATTGCTCTGATAACCTTAGGTACCTCAGGAACGTGGAGAGTTTCCAAAGATACCTGAAGAATAAGAACATCCATTAACATGAATAATATTAAAGGCAAATTCTTAATTGACTCACGTGGGAATAAAAAGTTTCCAAGATTCAGTGAAAATTCGTAACTGACAAATCCTAAAGGCAAAGAGGATCACTAACAGCATAAAAGATAAGCTTTAAAAAAAAAGAGGGAAATTGGAAATAAAATGACTGATCTGGCATTCCTTTCCTTGAAGTTTACCTATGGGAATAACTACCTCTAGTTTAACCATCTGGTTGTGTACATCTAAACTGTATGATGAAAAAATAATCCTGGAATGCTTTGTTGAATTATAAAGGCTAATAAATAAGCCATTTACATCATTGTGTTCCTGAAATACTTACAATCTTAGTCCTTTTAAGTCCCTATTTGTTTTATTAACCCTTACTTTACCTTCTGGGAAAACTCAACCAAAGCAAACATCCTTTACTTGACGCCCAAATCTATGCTTTAGAGTTCACTCAGGCAGTCATCTTATTTCCCCTCCTTTCCATTCACTGTCACATTTACTGAAATTCTGACATACACTCAGACTTCTAGCATTTCTTTATTAGTAATTCAGACTTTAACATACTTAGACACAATTTCTATTCTAATTATTCCTTTGAAATGACACCAAAAGGTGAAATTCCTAATTGTTTAACCCAACTTCTACTACAGTATTCACATAGTTATCTTTGCACCAGCTGATGTTCACAGCCAAATCTTTGAAACCTTACCTTTTCCACTGTGAAGCCATGATATTCTTAGTTTTCCTCTAATTCTGGCGATTTCATCTCCATTTTTGGCTCTTATTCCTCTTTCCAAAATACAAAAAATTCCCTAAGATTTCTTATTTAGCCCTTGATTTTCATCTGCATGAAGGATCTGTTGGCATTCTTATGCTTGACTTAGTTTCACCGACCTCTATCTCCAACTCTAACATCTCAGCCTTAGATCCACTTTTCAGACCGTCTGCTGGACATTTCCATTCAAATATCATCTCAAAATTCACTTTGGAATTGAACTCCTTATCATCATCCTAGAAAATTAGCTTTCCTTCTTGAATTCCTATTTCTGTTAACAGCATCATCTCTTCTAACACAACAGATTTAGATACTTTAATAAGTTTGTTTTTCTCCCCTAATCTCACATATAAGTCAGTCAGTACATTTGGCTGACCCTTTCCTCAAAATGTTTCCAATATTTGTTCATTTTTCTCCATTCCTAGAGCTAGTACCCAGTGTAAGAATCATAACTTTTAAATTCCCGACAAGAAGCTCCCCAATGTCTGGAGACACAAACTCCTTACTCGGGAGAGGAAAGACCAGACTAAATTCTACATTGATCCTACCTTTGATCACTTGAGTCCTTTCCCACAAATTTTGAGAAAGAGTTTCCCAAACTTGCTAGTTTATCCAAATACCACCAATCTTCCCAGGGGCAATTTAACTCCCATGTATATCATTATGCCTTCTCAGAAAATTCTAGCCCGGTGTAACCACTTTCCTCTACTTAAATCACCTCTGAGTTTACTGTACACATTTTTGATACCTGCTATTTTACTATTTAACTTTTCCCATGCATATATAGAAGACACTAAGTGATCACTGACTAAAGAAGGACCACACTCTGACTTAGAAAATCCTGAATTCCTAAAGATACTGTTTTCTATATTTCGGTGAGCAACAGGAGAATAAAACCGATTATGAGCATAATTAAAACAAAAACACAGGTGCAGTCTATAGATTATTATTGAGGGTTATTTTCTAGAGTCCCTACTAGTACTTATAAATAACTTCACATACCAAATGAATAGTCTTCTTTTTCAGGTACAACTTGCAGTGGGACTATTAATATTTGGTTCACATTCCATATGTTCATCAGTTTTCAGATACAATGACATTATCTAAAGCACTGTATCACTGGATTATACAGCATCATTGTATTGGGGGAGGGAGTTAGAATACACTTTCCAGTACTTGATATGGGACTTCTTATTTGTATAATGGCCTTCCACTGTGGGAAAAGGCAGTTCCTGAGAAGTGCTTTCAGAAACAGATATATCATTTTTTATTGTCATTTTTCTGATGTGTTATGTCAATTTTCTTATGCGTTATAGGGTTATCTTTAATGAAATCTATTTAATTTAAATGCTAATAGTTGCAGTACATACAGTATTTTTTCACCATATTTCTCACAATACCTCAGAAATTCTGAAGTCATTCAATTTATGAAGCTTTTCAAGATGACCTTAGGAAAGCATTTTACCATCTTTAGGTCACTAGCTGTTATCACTGTCTAAAAGCTGCCTAACAGCTACAGGTATCAGAGATGATAGTTCCACATGGGAGCCTGATGAAATGTAATTAACACAAAAGAAAATAAGATTTTAAAAAATTCTGATATTTAACTATAGGAGCTATAGCTTAAAGAAAGCTTAAAGGCTACCTGATTGGTTCCATCCATAGAGTATGTGACTCTTGATCTCAGGGTTGTAAGTTCAAGACCCATCCATATTGGGTATAGAGACTACTTAAAAATAATAAAATCTTAAAAAGAACAAAAAGAAAGCTTAGATACAAGGTCAATATATTTACCAGACAAGAAATTTTCTTTTTTTTCTTTTAAATGTTTATTTATTTATTTTTGAGAGAAATAAAGAGAGCACAGACAGAGGAAGGGCAGAGAGAGAGAGGGAGACACGGAACCCGAAGCAGGCTCCAGGCTCCAAGCGGTCAGCATGGAGTCTGACACGGGGCTTGAGCTCATGAACTGCCATATCATGATCTGAGCCGAAGTTGGATACTTAACCCACTGAGCCACCCAGGTGCCCTCACCACCCCAGATAAGAAATTTTCAAGGGTAGTTTCCCAAGTTTCTCTTGAATTTTCTAAAACTTATCCTAGAATCCATGAGCTTGAAAGTTCAAGAATTTACTTGTTTCTCTTTGTGTTTTAGGCTGAATAGTCCCTTTCCTGGGATAGTGGAGGGATCCACTTGGGGAGGAAATCCTAAGATCCACATGGGGAGGAAATCCTAAGAATAAATAAAGGGATTCTTCTCTCTTCTTGACCAAGAATACAGTTACATTCACCTGACCTCAATAAGGGGAAAATAGACTTTTATTGCACAGTAGTTATATATTTTAGGAAATATATTCCTGAAGAGTACATGGAAAACAGAGAAGAATAAAATGCACTTAAAAAAAAAAAGAAAGAAAGAAAGAAAGAGGGGTACCTGAGTGACTCAGTTGGTTAAGCATCCAACTTTGGCTCAGGTCATGATCTTGTGGTTCATGAGTTTGATCCCTGTGTCAGGCTATGTGCTGTCAGCTTAGAGCCTGGAGCTTGCTTTGGATTCTGTGTCTCCCTCTCTTTCTGCCCCTCAGTTCCACTCAGTTTCTCTCTCTCTCTCAAAAATAAATAAACATTAAAAGAAAAAGAAAAAGAAAAAGGATACCCGGCCGATTCAGTTGATACAGCATGTGACTCTTGATTTCAGGGTTGTGAGATTGAGCCCCATATTGGGCCTAGAAATTATTTCAAAGAAAAAAAAAGGGATATCCTAACAACATCTGGTGATATATGTTCGATAAAATAGTTTAAAAAGAAATGTAACATTAAAGATGGCACTAACATAAAGGACTTGTTTATCCTCACCTTTTTGGACCTCCAACAACGGCAGTACACAGCTTTATCTCCCAAATCCTCCATGTCAAAAGCATGTACTATCTTGGGGTTGTCTTTCTGGATGTGAAGGTTTACCATAGATTTGTTGCGATGATCTTTAACATAAAATCTTTTGTAAGCTAGATAACCAATCGCAGCTGTACCAGCAGCAATAGTAACTGCTGCGATCCATTCAACTAGAGTAAGGAAGGAAAACAGGAATAATTATCAAAATGAAAATATACACTAATAATGTGTATTTTTACTAACATGTATGTTCAGAAAAATCCAGTTTTGAGCTAAGCATCCCAATAATCCATGATTTTTAACTGTTAACAAAATGATCACAACACATTGGTGTACCAGTTCTTGTTAAGACTTTCCCCAGCCTTTACTGAGGTAATTGTATATTTTCTATTGAATGCTGATAGCTATTCAACGTAGAAGGAAACTTAAAAATTAAGTTTAGATGGACAAGGAAAAACCATGCTTAATAATTTTTAAAGCGTTCATAAATACATTTAAAATACATGTAAGCTTGTAGGTACCTACTGCTTAAAAAAAAAAAAAAACAGCCCTGATACATTAAAAAATTCAGATTAAGAAGACTCCCCTCACCCAAAAAATCTGAAGGTGATTATGTTAACAAAATGACTCATCAGAGTTCATTTAAATAGTAGGTCCTTTAGTGATTTTAAAATTTAAAATAGGGGCGCCTGGGTGGCTCAGTCAGTTAAGCATCTGACTTCAGCTCAGGTCTTGATCTCCTGGTCTGTGAGTTCAAGCTCTGCACTAAGCTCTGTGCTGACATCTCAGAGCTTGGAGCCTGCTTCAATTCTGTGCCTCCCTTTCTCTCTTTCCCTCCTCTCTCAACGCTCTCTTTCTCAAAAATAAAATAAAAATTATAAAAACTTTTTAAATATAAAACAGAACTGGTATCTGAAGGAAGGAAAAGGACAAATAGAACAGAACTGGTATCTGAAGGAAAAAAAATAAAGGACAAATAAAACAAAACCATCCCCTAATATTAAACATTCAAAGAAACATATCCAGTAGGATTCTGGGCTTCAAAGTCATTCAAAAGTGTTTGTTTTTAAATTTCAAAGTGCTTTCTCATTAGAATAAAAATCAGGATGTGTTAATTTCATATAAAAGATGAATATAATCAGTCTCGAATTATAGGAACTATAATACTCTCACTTAATATATTCTAAATTTCCATTATCCACCAGTGGATGAGGATTTGAATTCTCTACAAACTTCATTTTTAATTTAATGACATTTTTCTACTCAATTATTTGCTTGACTAACAGGCGATCTATTTATTCTTTTCATGTAGCTTTTCGAGGAGCCCTTAGAAACCCAAGCACTTAACTACCCCAATTCCACAGAAGGTTGGAGAGAAGAAAGCTCTGCATAGTCTGGTTAGCCTCAGCCTCAGAGAAGAGTTGTCTATTCCCAGTATGGAGTGGACTGCAAGGAAGAAGTTGAACAGGGATCAGGGTAAATACACTGGACTGCTTCTCAGCACTTCTTGAGTCAGGTCTTCACAGTATTTCAAATAAATTTCCAGACTATCAAATAAAGCCCCAGAGAGATAAGTACAAAAAACATATTCCAAGGCCAAATAAAAACATAAAGTGAATTATTAACTGTATGGCTTATTTGCACTATTGAGTCAAATTTTTTATTACACTAATATGATTAGTCACCATTCCTAATAGTGCCCTACATTAAATTGGAGCCCATTCTTAAAAAACTGTAATGGGAATGAACAACCATTCTCAGACTTAGTTCCTTTTAGTGTGGTCTTCTAACTTATTTAACAGTTTACTTTTTATCAAAAGTTTGTAATTAGCACGTTCCTTGGATTCTATTTTCAACCATAGTATTTTTCTCTACATAATATTTATTTTCCTTCCCACATAATTTTCATTTCTCCTTGCTAAAATCCCCTAATATAAACAAACATCATGTCCTTCCCAGGTGCTGCATGACTGACAAAACAAGTTAATAAGTTATTTGACAGCTTCAAACCTTTGGACTCATTGAAGAATGTTTTTAACTACACAATTTGTGTACATTGGTCTTGAATTTTTAGCACTGCTTCATGATATTACCCTGTAGCAACTCCAAGCAGGGCTGAAACTTTGCTCTGATTTCTAGCTTGGTTCATGATCTCCTTTTTGATGTATTATTTATCATGGAGTCTCAACTCTCTTGAGAAAGTATTCTCTATGTCAGGAGCTGTAGCAATGCACTTCTAAGCTAATGGAAAGCCATTCTGAATAGCTAATGTACCTATCACTAAATGGGGTAAAATATTCCTTTGCATAGTATATGTTCAATTATGTTGGCTAAATTTTATCATTAGTATAAACTTAAAAGAAGGAAATATCCCAAAAGAATAAAATAACACAACTCCCTAATTACTGTTGATCTTAGTTACACCTTACTTCTTAGGTGAGTTATAAAATAATCTCTAACGATTTATTTTAATGGTGTCTACATATTACAAAAAGGCCTAAGAACCAAGGAACAAATAAAATTGGTTAAGATTAATTAGTCTCATGACATAAAGAAGGAATCCTATAGGAATTTCTATCTGAAACTCTTGATAGGTCTAAAGAATCTTTCTTAACCATTAAAACATTCTTGTAGTCTCTTTTCTCATATTAGCCACTGAATCCATATGGTGACTTTTTTAAAAAAAAACTTTACTTCCCTGGAATTTTTGACAGTGGAATAAACGACAGAATACTTGACATAGAAAAGAGGCGACAGCAAATGAAAGAAATGGGAACTGACTCTAGATATTACTGAAAAGTAGCTGCCCCACAGGGAATCAAAACACACACTGTACCCTACCCTTTAATAAGGGTCACTTTTGATCTTATATAAATGTAATAGTACCATATGTGCTGGGAAAATGGCTCTGCATTTGCTCCAATGGATTTTTCTGAATCATGGAGCTAGATAAATTCTTAAGAATTTCCCTTTCCCCCCTTCACAAATTCCAATTCTCTAATCTCATTAGAGACAAATAAATGGAAGATTTCCAAGAATAAGAAATATGTTGTTTTATCATTTCCTTATTGCAGATTGAATCAGTTTTGTTTGTTTGTTTGTTTGTTTGTTTTCTGGCAAAAAGCTGTGGCTGCCACTGGCAACTCTAGGGAAAAGAAGGAAAAGGAAACAATGTAGAAATAGGCAAGAATGACTATGGATTTAAAAGTCAACAATTAGAATAGAGAAAGAATTGAAAACCCAAGATAGTAAACAAATAAAAACAATAAAACTCAAGTGATATTTTGTTCTTGATAGCAGATATCTTCTATTAAGAATAAACAGAGGCAAAAAGAGACTTTATCAAGACCCAATCTTTAAAGACATTTCAGTTGGCACCCTCAGACACTCTTTATCTTGAGCACTACTTCTGCTTCTTGTAGTTCTATCCTCACTTCACTTCTTTATAGATATCTCTCAAGGTACAGTATTCCTATAGTTAGATCAAACTCCACCCGACCCAATCTTGCTTAACAGTGCTTTCTACGTTCACAAAGAGATACAACTGATGAGCCAATGTAAAGAACAAAATATAGAAATAACATTTCTAAATAATCCCTCCCATTCTTACTCTTCCCTTGGTTTACTACTGTACAACACAGGATATTGGTTTTCTCTCAGAATTATTCAGAGATTGAGAAAACATAAATTTATCTCCAAATCCCTTGTTTATAACCCATTCCTCAGCTTTTCTCTATTGTGGGAATAATTTTGCTTTAACTTAGAAATCTCACCCTGTTTCTGTTCCTTTAGCTCTTTTCTGTCCAAAACAGTCCTCTTTTGCCCAAAGTCAACTGCCACAGAATCAGAATGTTCTTTTCTTCTCAGGAGAGGGGGAGGGGGGCTGTGTTTAAATCTTTCCCTCCCTAGGTCTCTTCCCCAGATTGGTAGGGTGTGCCTGGTAATGTTACTGTTAACACAGGTGGTGTTCAATTTTAGCTGAGTAAAAGAAATAATAGATTACTAATTTGAATTTGCAATTCCATCTGTCCTCTTACCATCACATTGCTCTTATACAAAATGACTTATCTTTGGCCTCATCTTAACCTACTGTATCAAAGTGTGGGATTTAAACATTTCAGATTAAAATAAAACTTTATTATGGAACATTTCAGACATCTATACAAGAATTACTATAATGAAGTCCCATTTACCCTCACCCAGCTCCAACAAGTATCAACTCACTGCCAATCCTATTTCATCTATAGACCCCAACACCCCCAGTATTTGTTTACTGAAGAGCAGATTCAATGAGTTTTGGAGGTATCAAGGAGCAAGACTTTAGAAACCTTCCTAAAAGTCATATACTGGGTATGAGGAGGAGTCACTATAGACTGGGGACTCCATAGTAGTGACTATAATAAACTAGTCTGGTATCAAATAAAAAATAAGTTCGGTATAAGTATGTTGATTATACCTCAATAAGGGAAAAACAAAGGTTGGTATCACTCACCAAATGGGTATCAAGAACCATCTCACTGCATGGGATCTTAGGATTTTAATTCCACTTATCTTCATTGCCTTTCCCAGATTCATGTCCTGGCCTGATCCCCATTAATTTTATTTATAACCCACCACCCATTACTTTTCTTCTGAATATAAAGGAGAATTCTGCACGCATAGACACATCCTTTTGTTTTTTATTTAACATATAATTAGAAACTGCTTACCTCTGTTAAATACTTTTCTAAGCCCTTTATAGTTATTAATCTATTTAGTTGAGAACAGATACCTTAATTCATCCTCCCCAAATTCAAAAATATAGATTTTATTAGTGTGGTTTAAAAATTCAGAAAAAAACTGAAATCTAAACATTACAAGGTAGATTCCTAAGACAATATCTGTCCCTACCCTGCCACACTACTACATATGAGGAAGAAGGTAGGAAGGTGCTGGTTAAAGAGTCTTACACAGGTTTTCGGTCTTTTGGCATAATCCTCATAACAACCTTTATGTTTTTAGGTGAAATAAAAAGTAGTAACTTCTCCTAAAAGTTGAGTACTTCAAGTTTAAGTTGATCACCCTCTTCACCAAGCAATTTCCAGTCCCTTAGAAAAGGGCAAGCTAAAAACAAAAAACAAAAAAAAAAACCACCCACAAACTTGTCTTGATTCTAAGAAAGATTAGACTGCAGATAGTGTTAAGAAGTCCTAGAGTTCACCTACTTCACATTTCAATAGTGTGCTATCTCAGTGGAGTTTGTGCCCATTTACACAAAATGACTCCACATTTTAAAAAGCTATGTTGTAATCTTTCAGCTTATATCACATAAGTGCAAACTGTCTTCTAGTAGAATTATCAGTGGCTCAAGTCACATAAGTATCTTATTTTACACAACAGTCTTATTCCTCAGAAAATACAGGTTTGAGTTTAAAAACAAACAAAAATTCCTCCCTATTTTAAATGCACCAAGGTGCCTCTATTTAAAGGACTCTCAAGATAAGCATCCTTTGAAATAATTTTTGCAAATAATTACCTCCTACATACTTCATTAGTAACTTAAAAATGTCATGAGGTTATCCACTTTAACTCTGTCAGGTAACTTATGGCAACAGAAGTGGAATTCTCCAACTTTAAGAGTGGATTACAAAATTAGGTCTCCAGTTAAGAGAGCCTTTACAGAACCTGGCATTAACTCTAGAGCCTCAATATTTACTAAATGAATTAATACGGCTCTTTTAAATAAACTGCTGGACAATCTCTTTACCTTTACTTAACTACTGTTACCGGCAACCAAATCATGGGACATGGCATTTTATACCTGGGCAGAGAGATCGCGTGTATCACATAGCTAGTGCACAGTATTATATTAACAGTTATACCACCACCAAGGATTATTATGTGAAGCTCTACATTAATCGATTGCTAGAAAGTCTCTTAATTTTAATTGGACATATGTTTCCAAAGGCTAGACTAGCACAAGGGAAGCATGGCTGAGAGAGCTGAGAGCTCAAAGAGCTGTTTTCAATCCTCTCTTCTGGACTACTGCTGATGTTGAGTGCCAGATGCCAGACGGCTATAATTAAAAACAAAAACAAAAACAGAAACAACTGGGACAACTGAAAATCTCTGATTGGTTTTCTTTGCTTAAAAAAGAAATATGCAAAACTAGGATGTGATTACTCAAGCTTCAGGGCGGCCGGAAATCGGCAGTCTGACGGAGATTTAAACCGGAGAAGGGGGAACCGATTTTTTTTTTAACCTTTCCTCTTTTCCAGACCCTGTGACTTAACACAGAGGTGTCTCAGGGAAGAACAAGAAAAAAAGCTAGCGGCGGGATCATCAGGTTTTAGGATTTGGCTAGTTAAGGAAAACGTGGTCCAGACTTGGGTAGAAGCCTCCGTAGCCCCCAAGCCTGGAGAGATAACTAATCCTTACCCAGACATTTCCCCCGTCCCTAGTCTGGCCCAAGGAGCTCACAGGCCCGCCCTGCCCTTGCCCTTCTACGTCTCAAGGTTACAGGACTGGCGGGCTCGCATGGCAGCGGTAACAGCCCAGAGAGGAGTTGAGAAAGCTGCAATCGGTGCGCAGGCCTCCAGCCTCACCCCACTCCCAGGTCCCACTTCACCTCGTACGTTGGAAGACAGACTCATGGCGCCGTCGCTTGCAAGGCGTGTGCACAGACACTAAGCACAAACAGGCTCACGGAGGGCAGGAGTCAAGGTGCGAGAAACGTCCTACGTGCACCCACTCCAGGCCGCTACAGCGCAAGCGCCGCGGCTGGCTGTAAGCACGTGTGTACTGCCACAGCAGCTGACGACGAGCATGCGCGGAGCTGGGTCCTGGCCTTAAAGAAGTCTAGAGTCGGAATTTTGACAGCCGCAATACTGGGGAGGAGGAAGAGACTTAGAGAGGTAGCAAATGAGTGTGCGCAAATCTAAGGGGGCGGAACCCTGGAGCCTGGGGTAGGGCTTTGAGAAACAACAAGCTAAGCCAGAGGTTTAGTCTCTTTTCTAGGTGTGCGGGGTTTCTCTCGGCAAAGGACAGGTGCTGAGGTATCTAAGATCTTATCCACGGTTTTCTTGCTCAGTTCGGCACCTACAAGGCCAGGTCCAGTCTTCGTATAAAACAGACACACGGGTATCAATTGTGAAGTCCTATTTCAGAATCTCGCTCCCGGTATGCATCACCTTTTCTGCTTTTGAGCCAGTTATCTCTGGGAACCTTGGAACCTGCGCTAAGGGCTGAGTAGGAGAGGGGAATTTCTAGAAAAAATGTACTTTTCCCCTTCCCCCCAAGATTATTCTCTATCTTCTACAGTCTGAAATTAATGTCGGTTTAAAAATATTTTTTTAAAAGCGATTTAAGGGGGTTAGAATTAACTCAAAGGATGTTTAGGAGATAGGTTTTCTAAGAAGCTGCCTGTTTATACTCCTATTGTTTTGATGCAGGGTGGGAGTTGGAGGGAGCTGATTGTAGTTAAAGCGCGCCTCTAAGCCGCGCTTGGCACAGCTACAGCCTCCCAACTTCCAACACGTGACTGATTGCTCCTCTCCATTGGAAGCCTCTGGCATCTTTGAGCTGGTCCCCAGGAAGCGCTGAAACTCCCACTGAATGAATGAAGGTATAACAGCCCCACTGGCATTGTAACGCCAGCTGGGGAGGGGGAGTGAGAAAGAGCGCGTTCTACCTAACCGATATCCTTCAGCTTTCCGGGGCGGCGCCAAGCTCTCAGTCCCGTTGCGGGGGGTCCCTTCGCGCAGCCTCTGGGCATGCTCAGTAGCCGCAGCGGCAGCGGGTCGCGCAGTCGGAAGCTCGCGGCTGCGGCGGCTGTGCAGGCGGCGCTGACGCGCGCGGCAGCTGAGGGAACTGGAGGACGGCGGGAGGGGGCGGGAGCGCGGGAGGTGGGGCCGCCGACGCCGTCAGGGCCCCAGGGAGCACGGGGCGCCGCGGCTGCCTCTCTCCGTCTCGGTTCGGTCTCTGGGGCTGCGGTGGCAACTGTGGCCGCAGCGGCAGAGCAGCGGGAGTCGGGAGCTGCGCTCTGCCGAGAGTTGGGCAGGGGAACGCCTGCGCCTCCGCGGCGTCATGGGCCCCATTCCCGGGCCTCAACGGGCACCAGCCGCGGGAACCCCCGGGCCTCCTCGCGTCCAAGCCTGAGCGACCCCCGGGTTCTCCGGCTCCCCCTCCCTCCGCGCTATTTTTTTTTTTTCCTGCTCTCGCCGCAGCCACAGCTTCAGCTCTGCGTTATGGCAACGGAGCCGCCATCCCCTCTCCGACTCGAGGCTCCTGGCCCCCACGAAATACGGACCCCACCCGTGAGCGAGCCCCCTCTCGAGGGCTTCCCGAAACCGACAGGCGGCAGGCTCCGCTTCCTCAACGGTTGCGTGCCCCTCTCTCATCAGGTGGCCGGGCACATGTACGGAAAGGACAAAGTGGGTAAGTATGGGTGGTGCGGGGTTCGCCGCTGCCCTTCCGCCTCCGCGAACCCCCGGCCAGCAAAGGCACTTGGCGCTCACCTGCAGGGCTAGGGCTGGACTCTCCTGTGGTCTGCGCGCCGAACCTCCGGCCTCTTCCGCTGTCACCCAGAGCCTCGAGACCAGTGCAGAAAGGGCTTGAAAAGGGGGCGGCTTGGGGGGGGAGGGCGTCACGCTAGCGGCAGGAGGTGGTGGAGAGAGTAGTGTCTGGTCTCCCCAGGAGGGTGGATGTTTGTTGGAGACGGCGTTGTTAGTGAAAAAAAGGAACTTCATTTTTACTGGACGGGGAAGTAAATTCTCCCCTGAGCACAAGGTCTGTTTATTATAGGCGGGTAGCTATTGCACAAGAAAAGGAATGAAATGCAGATGATGCTAATCTAGTGCTTCTCTTCTTTGTGCAGCTGCATAGCTGGAGGGGAAGAAAAAATACAGGGTTTATTTCATTGATTGATTGATTGATTGACTGACTGGGAACGCTTGATTGATTGATTGATTGATTGACTGACTGTTTGGGAACGCTTGTCTTGACTTATCCAGGATCAATCTCCCTGCCCCGCTGAGAGGTTTTTCTGGTATCCCTTGGTTCTCAGGAGGCGTGGTTCCGGTAGTGCAGAAACTCGAATTCAGGGTAGGAAATAAACCCTGCTGTTGTACTAGAATGGTACACAGTTAAACACATTCAGTTATTCTTGATTATCTTTTTAAGACTATGTCAATGCCTGTGTAATGCATTTTGTGAGCCTACCACATTCAAAGCACAGTACAGGACCTATCGCAGTTTATTATCTTGTGATGTAAAAATTCAGTTTAGGAACCATAATTCACCTAGCTTACTCAAACTGGTTTTCCGGGCCGTGATTCCTAGGGGAGTCTGATATATGAGTATGTGAGTAGTGGGAGTCTCAGACTTGGAAACCACTAGATACAATTTGGTTTATGCTAATAAAATGATTCGGGTTTAGGCTGGTAAGATAATACTGACCTTTTTAGATGAGATAACTGAGGCCAAGCCTGGTTATGTGACAAGCCTGAAATCACACAGCTACTGTGTGTTAGAATTGGGAAACCAAGGGTCCTACCTCAGCACTGTATTTTTCCACCGTGTATTGTTTTTGCAGATAACAACTCAAACAAGGGTATTTGAAAATGGATTTGAATGTATGTTTGTTATTTCTCAAAGAGCAACATTTCTTACTGCTTTTATTTTTACCTAACCTTTCTTTTTCTCTTGTTGAAAGTTAGGCATTAATGACCATGTCCTGGATTGTGTGTCTGAATTATGCATTCCTTGAAGTTAGACACCAAATCTGTTTATCCTCATTGTCTTGTATAGGGATTAAATAGAGAAATGTTGAGGGGTGACTGAGTGGCTCAGTCCTTTTGAGCATGTGTTGATTTCTGCTCAGGACATGATCCCACCGTGGTGGGATGAGGCCAGTGTTGGACTCTATGCTGGGTGAGGAGCCTGCTTAAGATTCTCTCTCTTCCTCTGCCTCTCTCTCTCTCTCTCTCTCAAATAAAATATAAAAAAATAAAAATAAGAGAACACTTTAAAAAGAATTGGGAAATGTTGAAAGTGTGAGAAATGACAGATTTTTTAGTATACACAGTTAAGGAAACATACAGTTCTCAAGGTGTTTAGCCTACATGGAAGGAAACAATGCATTCTTGTGTGTGTCTCTTCTGGTAATGAGAGTTTGAGAGTAATTATGGAATTACTGTTAATAGATTTACATTGCGTACCTATTTATTTATATTAATGAATTGTAATGATAATATTCCTAACAATATTTTAGGAGCTAAAAGAAATCATTGTTTCCCTAACAGTCCCTAGAGGTCAGCTCATGTGCCTCAGTGTATAGATACACAAAAAAATCCCAATATAAACACAGTCTCAGTGGTGATTGTCATTTGAGATTGTAACTATTGCCTATCAAAGTATGTAATAGTGAGCTTGTTGCTTATTCACTAATTACAGATGTTCTCTACATGTGACTTTAAGCCACCTTGCAAAACAGTCGCTGGAAGAGTTAATTTGTCACCCAAATTACCTAAATAAAGGAGTAGTTGAGATTCTAAATAGAGTCCTTAATTTTATTATTGCATTCAACTTAAAATAAGCTTTTTTTTTTCAATTTTGTAAGGTTCTCTTGACTAGAGATGGCTTCAGACATACTGTACTAACAACCTAATAAATATTTTGTTGAATTTAATTCTAAATTATTTACCCAACCTAACATATATTGTTAGTGAAAGGACACCTGAATGATGATAATCTTCCCTATTCATAAACTGGATAACAAGATAGTAATTCAAAGTTCAAGAGTTTATTGTGTCTCTACTATCATAAATCACTTAGAGTCGTAAAGTGCGTTGTGTAGATCATACTTTGGTTTGGCTGTCAACTGAAATTCTCAGAATAAACTTTCTTAGAGACATTGTGTGGATATTTGTTTTGCTTTTAAAAATTTTTGTTAGTGTCATTAAACCTATTTCCAAGCGGACTTGTTGGCCTTGTTAAATTAAACATTATGAACATGAAACCAATTGCACAAAGGTACTTGAACACAAAAATGGATTTTGTTACAGTCGATTAATAAGAATATGTTATAGTTCTACATTCAGACTTATAGTTTATGTTCTTCGATGAAATAAGATTTCATGAACCATATTTCATTGAAGAACATTTCAGTCATTTCTGAGATTACAAAGTGTGTTTTTTTTTTTTAACTTTTTTTATATTGTAAAAGTAGTACATGATCTTTTAGGAAAAAAATTTAAACAGCATAATAGTACCCTTCCCCCTTCTCTCCTTCTCCCAGAGGTAGTCACTGGTAACTATTCCTCCTACATCTTTTCAGGTTTTGCTTATGTGCACATACATAAGAACACTAACACAACTCTGCTTTTTTGTACAAATACATGTATCAGCAACCTTTTGTTTTCATTCCATATTATGTAGTATATCCAAATGTTTGTGCTTATAATCCACTTCATTTTTTTAAAATACCCTTCATTAGATGCTTATATATAATATACTTCATTCTTTTAGAAAACTTTTGTGTTCTACAGTGTATCATAATTTAACTATTCCTCTAGTGGTGGATTTTTATATTTTCACTATATTTTTGCTGTTATAAATAATATATTTAAGCATTTTTGTACGTTATAGTATACCTTACACATCGTGCAACATTTTCTTTTTTAAAATTTGTTTATTTTTTTGCTTTCATTTATTTTTTAAATTTATTTTTTAAAATTTACATCAAGGTAGTTAGCATATAGTGCAACAGTGATATCAGGAGTAGATTCCTTAATGCCTGTTACCCATTTAGCCCATTCCCCCTCCCACAAACCCCTCCAGTAACCCTCTGTTTGTTCTCCATATTTAAGAGTCTCTTATGTTTTGTCCCCCTCCTTGTTTTAATATTATTTTTGCTTCCCTTCCCTTATGTTTATCTGTTTTGTATCTTAAAGTCCTCATATGAGTAAAGTCATATGATATTTGTCTTTCTCTGACTGACTAATTTCGCTTAGCATAATACCCTCTAGTTCCTTCCACATGGTTGCAAGTGGCAAGATTTCATTCTTTCTGATTACTAATACTCCATTGTATATATATACCATATCTTTATCAATTCATGCATTGGTGGACATTGGGCTCTTTCCATACTTTGGCTGTTGTTGATAGTATTGCTATAAACAGTGGAGTACATGTGCCCCTTCCAGACAGCATACCTGTATCCCTTGGGTAAATACCTAGTAGTCTAATTGCTGGGTCGTAGGGTAGTTTTGTTTTCCAGAGTGGCTGCACCAGTTTGCATTCCCACCAGCAGTGACAAAGATCCTTTCTCTGCATCCTCGCCAACATCTGTGGTTGCCTGAGTTGTTAATGTTAGCCATTCTGACAGGTGTGAGCTGGTATCTCATTGTGGTTTTGATTTGTATTTCCCTGATGATGAATGATGTCGAGCATCTTTTCATGTGTCTGTTGGCCATCTGGTATCTTCTTTGGAGAAGTGTCTATTCGTCTTTTGCCCATTTCTTCACTGGATTATTTGTTTTTTTGGGTGTTGAATTTGATAAATTCTTTATAGATTTTGGATACTAACCCTTTATCTGATATGTCGTTTCCAAGTATCTTTTCCCATTCCATCAGCTGCCTTTTAGTTTTGCTGATTGTTTCCTTCGCTGTGCAGAAGCTTTCTATTTTGATGAAGTCCTAATAGTTCATTTTTGTTTTTGTTTCCCTTACCTCCAGAGATGTGTTGAGTAAGAAGTTGCTTAGGCCAAGGTCAAAGAGACTTTTGTCTGCCTTCTCCTGGAGGATTTTGATGGCTTCCAGTCTTTTATCCACTTTGAGTTTTTTTGTGTGTGGTGTAAGAAAGTGGACCAGGTTCATTTTTCTGCATGTCGCTGTCCAGTTTTCCCAGCACCACTTGCTGAAGAGACCATCTCTATTCCATTGCATATTCTTTCCTGCTTTGTCAAAGATGAGTTGGCCATACGTTTGTGGGTCCATTTCTGGGTTCTCCATTCTGTTCCATTGATTTGAGTGTCTGTTTTTGTGCCAGCAACATTTTCTATAGGGAGGTTTCACAAAAGTGTAAATGCAGTCAATTTAAATTCCCAAAGCTTGCCAAAGTTAGCATGAAATCCATTTTCTATTTTAACATTTAACATGTACCATTAGTTTCTTTCAAAGGTCCTTAAATTTTCAAACAAATATTTGAAATCTGGTATTTATTTCCTGATCCAACTAAGGATGCAGAAATGAGGTAGTCTATAGATAAAAGAAGAATTTAAACTGATGTTATTTATTTTGACTTATAATCTATTTTATTGGATATGCTTTGAAACTAATTGACTTAAAATAACTTCAGACTGACAGAAAAGCCGCAGGGACAGTACAGAGAACTTAACATTTTATAGAATTTCTGTCTTTATGCCTGTTATTTTGGG